GGAGAGCTTGTGGATGACCCAACTCAAGTTATGAGTAGTTGTGGGTGATTCACCACGACAGAGTGTCGAAGAATCAACCCGTAGAGAGCACTTGATCCTTGCGCGGATCAAGGGGGAGCTACACCCTTGCGCGGGTGCTCCAACGAGGACTAGTGGGGAGTGGCGACTCTCCAATACCTCGGTAAAACATCGCCGCGTTTCCTCTCCTCTCTTTACTTTGAGCATTTCAATTCTTGTCATTTATATTCATAGAATTGCCATGCTAGAGTAGGATTAGAACTAGGTTGCTATTTGTGCGTTAGATCAATAGAAACACTTCTCTAGGCACAAGGGGTTAATTGGGCTAACCATAGAACTTGTCTATTGCGAAGAAATTTAGAATTAGCCCAATTCACCCCCTCTTGGGCATCTTGATCCTTTCAAAGGTAATGCATGTTAGCTGTGATGTTGTTGAGAAAGATGCAGTTGGTCTGAATGATGTTGTTAGCAGAGCAAATAAAGGTGGGTCTTCTACTACTGCTGCCTAATCTGGTGTGACAAATGTAGGACATGCAGAGAATGTAGAAGGCTTAGGTGACACTTGTAGTACTCCTGAAGAAGGTAGAGCTGAAGAAAATGTGGTTGATTGGAACACATTGACTATATTGGCTGATAAGAACTGTGATGGTGAAGCTAATGCTGTGGTAGATGAGGATCAAATCTATGAGGCTTTTGGATTCAAGGCAGTAGATGAGGCTCCTGCAGATGAGGTTCCTATTCCTAACATACCTGCTGATGTGGAGGATGAAATGAATGAGGTAGCAATCCCTGTTAATGATGACCTAGGAGATGAGCCAATGTTTGGTTGGGATAGAGACAACCCTGACATGAGTGTTGGGACACTGTATCCTTGCATGGATGATTTTAGGATGGCAATTAGGTAGCATGCTATTGTGAATGAGTTTTAATTGGGGACAGAGAAGTCTGACAAGGAGAGGTTTAGGGGCTACTGCAGTTCCAAGGGCTACCCATGGAAAATTAGAGCTAGGACACAGAAGGATGGCAGTGTCAGGGTACCAATACTAACACTTTTTTGTCCTTCTAATGTAACCTTATTTCTGATATTTGCATGTTGTATATGAATTTATCTTAACTATTTCTGACATTTCTTCATGTATGTGCAGATCCAAATCAATAAGGGTACCCACAAGTGTCCTTCAAAGAGTAGAGTTCTTGGGAGGATGGCATCCTAGAAGTGGATTGTTGAGAGGGCTATACCACTATTGAAGGATAATCCTGAGATGGGTTCCAAAGCTGAGAAGGGATTCAAGCTTCTTCCACCAATTGGGAAGAAAAGAGGACTTGGGAGGCAAAGGAAGAAGAGGGTTAAGGGATGCCTGGAGAGAAGTGGCAAAGCCACAAGGCAGGTTACTTGCAAGGGCTGTGGTGAATTAGGCCATAGAAGGACTAGTTGGAGGTGCCCACTAAGTGGCACCAAAAAAAGGTAACTTACTAACCTACCTTTGCTGAAATCCTTTCACCATTGTTAACTAACTTAATAAAATTGCAGGAAGAGGACAAGAAAGACAAAGACCAAAAAGGGGCCAAAGAAGGGTGCTGACAAGGAGTATGAACCTGCTCTAGCTAGTGAAACTGCAGCAGCACCACCTGAGCCTTCACCAGCTCCACCAGCAGCAGCAGCACCTAAGCCTTCACCAGCTCCACCAGCAGTAGCAGCACCATCACGAAGGACTCCAAGAACAAGGGCAGCAGTAGCAAGGGAAAGAGAGGCAGAGGAAGTAGCAACAGCAACAAGGTGGAGCTGGTGGAGCTGGTGACTCAGGAACTTGCCATCTCGACAACAGCTCACTAAACCACTTTCAAATGCAGGAGGTTGAACTTGGAAGCTCCACAACCCCTTGAAATGATCATTCTAGAGGCTGAATCTCTGCCAAACCCTGCACCAGCCAAGAAGATGACCCCTAGGAGGAAGCAGCTAGCCACAAAGGTGAAGAATTCTTCTGCCAAGGGAAACTAATGAAGCAATGAATCCTTGTGATCCATATTTTGGGAACTTTGTTATGTCATTGAAAGGTGCATGAACAACTTGTTATGGTATTGTAAGTTGAATGGACAACTTGTAATGTATTGCCTTATAGGCCTGAACAACTTGTGATGACTTTGCTATGGTTGTGTCATGTATGCAGACTGAACTTGCTATGTTTGTGTCATGTATGCAGACTGAACTTGCTATGGTTGTCAAGAGCATATCAGTGGTCTTGCAGTGATGATTTTTGGATATCATATACAAGTGGAATAACACAAACAATATTCCATTAACCATTCAACATTTTCACACATATATGCCCACTGATTGGTCAGACTCATACTGAAACACAGAGCTCATTACTCAACTAAGATACAGCTTGAAGTAGTTCAACTAACAAACAAGGGAACTAACAACTAGTTCAACTAACAAACAAGGGGTAAGCCACATTACTCATCACATACATAGCTCCAACCACTACACCAGCACCCATGACCAAGCTCAAAGCCTTCACTGCACCAACCAAAGCATCCAGCTTCACCTCCATTGAGTTCTTCTGCACACGCACCAGTGCCCTTGAATCAGCTTCTTCCTCTACTACGCCATGTTGTTCTAGATTCATCACAATCTTCCCCTGGTCCACCAATATGGCCAGGTACTCTCGCTGCCACTCAAAAAACCTATAAGATCCTAGAACCTAAACACATGGAAACATATTTGATGTGACAATTGATTCAAAACCCTAACAAATTGGAACCCAAAGAATGTGGCTTACCCCTTGCATGTTCCTGGGACATTTGAAGAAGACATGGCCCTTGTTGCCTTTCTCATCTGTCTGGGCCACAAGCTCGAGCACCCTCTGCAGCCCACACTCCTCGCACATGATGAGGGGGAGCCATGTCTGCCTCCCGAGTGGGTACTCCCCTATCCTATCCGGCAGCTGCGGACGCCTATTGCGCGTTGATGAGCTCGCTCGACGGGACATGGCGGCTAGGGTTGGGGAGGGCAATGGAGGGGCGGCGGCGACCAAGGATGGGGAGACGAAGGAAGAAGAAGTGCGGAGAGAACCGTTGGGACTGAACAGATGGGAGGAGACGACGCTTGTTAAGCAATACACGGTGGGGGCAGAATGGTCTTTTGCCTTCGGTCTTCGAGCGTCAACGACCCGTTCCCAAGCTGGCTGGCTGATCTAGCATGCCACATCAGCAAAAATAGCAAAATATTAGACGAGTTACTATTTTCTGGGATATTTTTGTAGTTGCCACCACAAAGTTGGCAATCAGAGAGGCGGCCTCCATAAGAGTGGCAAATAACTAGATGTCCCCTCAGTTGGTCCTTTCCTCCTCCACCCGTCGGTCATCTCGGTGTTGATGTTGGATCCCTGAGCCACATCCCCAGTCCTCCCCATCTTCCTCCTCCACCCACCCGTCGTCTCGGTGTCGATGTTGGAGTTGGATCCCTGAACCACCTCCCCAGTCCTCCCCATCTTCCTCCTTCTCCTCCTCGTAGAAATCTGAACGACGGACGTACATTAATTCTTTCTCTACATACTTTACTTCTTTCTCCTCTTTAACTTCATCATCTTCGACGTCGGTGGAATCACTGGCCGTAGAATCACCGCTTGTGGAAGAATCACTGGTTGTAGAAGTAGAATCATCGCTTGTGTAAGAATCACTGACTGTAGAGGTAGAATCACCGCTTGTGGAATCGCTCGGCAACTGCCCATTCACGTTTCGTGCCAGAGTCCCTTCGCCGTCACCGCCGACGCCAGCCACCACAGCGTCAGCGTGCATCTCGCCGGGCGCCGGCTCTCCCTCCCTCCTTTTGGAGGCACGCCCCTCCGACGAAACCTCCACACCCCCGGTGGCCGCCACTTCCGCCTTCCTTTTGGTGCCGCACGCCTTCATCGGGCCCTCAGCGACCGACGCCGCCTCCGACGACGACAACCCCTGCAAACCAAACCCACTGGCCATCGCAAGATCTGACCGACCACCGGCCACTAGCCTCTCCGTGCGTGTGACTCTTCGCTTGATTCGAATTGGAAGCTCGATCGCTGGAGATTGTGGATGAGAGGAGGCGGCGGCGCTCTCTCTCCATGTTATAAGACTATCTCGAACGACGACACCTAAAATACAACATTCGACTTGGTTATCACTGTAGACAAAAGAGTTCAATACTTATTCGACATATTCTCCGACAACATGACCCAAAAAAGAATCATTTCTGCAAATAGGTTTTTAGAAGAGAGATGCTCATATTTGAGTTATCAGATAACCCAAAATGGGTCTCCCGGATAAATAGTAGGTTAGAGGCCGATTTTGGATCTCTGGATACCCATTTTGGATATGGGTGTCCATATGGGTCACTCGTTGGAGATAGTCTAAGGGCACTCCCAACGCAGAAATTATCATAGTTTCTATGGACATTAATTGTACTGCCACCTAAACATTTTACTGATGTGACAATGTAGTTATTGAAGAGAGAGAGCAAAAATTTATGGAAACCAAGTTTAAGTTAGAAACCATATTTACACGAGAACCAAGATATGAAAGGACATGATTGATAGAGAATGGAGAGAGAATGTATGTGATTGAATAAAAAAATATTCTCAAAAAACTATCATTCTATATGTATACCTGGTATCTACTCTCTCTGTCTCTATTTCAGAGTAGTTTTAGCCTTTACTTAGGTACACTGACATTTCTTGAATTTGGATGAAAGCTTACTTAGATGCATGGATAATGTTTTGAATGGGACAGCTACAAGCACAGCTACGACTCTGTAACGGGGGACAGAGGGAGTACGTAGTTTCTAGTATTAGAACCCGGCACCGCACACAACCCTAGCGAGGACATGCTCCGGTCGGACTCGGCCCGCGAGTCGAAACGGAGAAAAGGGTGAAGTTCTTGAAAAAACGGCGGCCCGCGGGTCGACCGAAAATAATACGGACCACTAGTGGCCTACGCCCTGCGGGATGCTGTGCCGCGGCCGCCGCCGTCCGGGGCCGTGGCGGTGGCCGGTGGAGCTGAGGCGGCTGTCCCGGTTGGCTCCGCCGGCGCCTGCGGCTGCCGACCCGGTGGTGGTCCGCGTGGACGCCAGCAACGTCGCGCGCTTGGGGGCGCCCAAGCCCGGGCCGAGGCCGCGGCAGCTGCTCTCGCTGCCGCCGTTCCCCGCAGGGCCGGACCCTCTCCAGGGAAGGAAGGCGGCGCCGCGTCGCGTGATGGCGGTGAGCTGGGTGAAGCACTATTTCGCCGACGTGCCGCAGGAGGCTGTGCAGGCGCACTTCAACAGGAGAATGGTATCTCTCTGCCTCTGCCCCTTTTTGGACTGGCATTCCTAACTGTTGCAGCTTTGTTTCAATGGTCACAGTTTTTTCTCAATCAGTATTGATTAAGAATTGTTCGACTACTGATGTTATCATAGTTTAAATGTTTAATTGCTTGTTTCAGTTACTTGCATCAGAAATTCAGAACTTTTTTTTTTCTTTTTGGATAAGAGCAATAGAGCTTCTTTGATATGCCTTTGTCAGAATGGTAGTGTCTTCATAGGATCAGTTGAACACATATAACTTTCCCGATTTAGTGTCATAGCAGCCTGCACAACCTGCAGTTGTAGTCATCTTTGATTCAGCATCTAAGATGAAAACGATTTGCTATTCAGGTTTTTTCTGAGTGCTCTGACCACGAGGTTTCAGCTGACAGCATTCGAACTCAGAAGCATCATCTGAAAAAGGTACCAGTGAAGTATTTGCTCTATAGCTCTTTTTGTATGGTGTTGTTGTTGTACTTTGTGAATAAAGTAAATATGGTCCTCAGTTTATTGCAGATTAAACATAATGATCCTATGGAGCCCGGAATGAGAATTCACCTTCCTGTTTCAGTGGCTGAGGGTGAGATAAAAAAGCGTTATGAGACCATTCCGACTGCCACGCTGCATCCTAATAAAGATGAGATTGAGTACCTGAGGAGGCTTGTCATTCACAGGGTATTGTTTCTTTGTAGGTTGTATTGCTAATTTCCATAGTCAATACCCTACATGACTCACGGCATTAATAGATTATGTGGATAATTGGCCTCTGTATGCCAGTATTCTCCAAACATGTATTTTGAAATGAAATAAATGAATACATCAATCTGTCTGCATATTTGTTAACTACAAAAGACTATTCAGATTTGTTAAGCTTTTGTATGTTTATAAAGGTGTCAGCTTGTCACCATTTCAGTGTTTCAGATTTTACTGCTTTCATTTTACATGATTCAGGTTCGCAATAAGCTAAAGCTTTTCAATCACAGGACTCTGCTATACTGGTGCTTAACAAGCCCCCAAAAGTGCCCATGAAAGGACATTTGCCAGTACATAACAGCATGGATGTGCTTGCAGCAGCAGCACTGTCATATGGAAACGAAGAGGGTCCAAAATTGGTGAGCTCACGACTTGTTTCTGTTTGACTTTTGGTCACTGTGTATAATCTTAGGTTCTCTGAAGATCTCTTTTCCCTGTGTGCTTGTGAGCAAAGGTCCATCGACTGGACAGAGAAAGCAGCGGTTTGATTTTGATGGGCAGAACAAAAGAAAGCTTTACTCGGCTGCACTGGCTTTTCACTAGTGTAAATTTAGCTAAAACATCTTCTCAGGTAATCATCAATTCATCGATTACTAAGCCTTTGACTTAACATGCCATGTTGCGTCTAAATTATTGTGATGAATTTACCTTTTCTGATTGCTGTATACTAACTAATATCTTGCATTATTGGCATATTCAGACATGGAATAAAGCCTGTGAAGCATACGTGCAGAAGTTTTGGGCACTAGTCATTGGTACTCCTAAAGAAAGGGAAGGTGTTATAGCTGCTCCTATTTCAAAGGTTTTTTCTGATTTATTTGTTAGCTATTGCAACATAAAACAATAAATGATCCCATGTAGGTTAACTTCTTATGTTCCAATCTTTTCACTTAAATCAAACTGGATTTTCTGATTCAGGTACTTCTCGATGACGGGAAAGCTGAGAGGGTTATTCTGGCACATCCTTCTGGCATAGATGGTGCACAAGAGGCAGTAACTGAGTATCGGGTGATGGGACCAACCATTAATGGGTGCTCATGGATAGAGCTACGCCCATTGACTGGGCGGAAGCACCAGGTATCCTCATAATGTTTGGATTTTGTTTGTGCTATATTTCTGCAAAATGTGTGGAGATGATCCACACTTTAGTATATCCTATCATGCCTTTCATTTGTTCGTATAAACATGGAAAATAGATTCATATATCTTGCTTTGAATGGAAAGTTTCAACCGTAAGCATCAACCTGTTCTGTTTGCAGCTCCGAGTCCACTGTGCTGAAGCCCTCGGCACTCCCATTGTCGGGGATTACAAATATGGTTGGTTTGTGCACCAAACGTGGAAGCAAAACCCCCAGGCTGACTTTGAACCGTTTACTGGAGAGCCATACAAGCTGAGACGGCCAGAAGGCTTGGAGATTCAGAAGGGCAGTGTTCTTTCAAAAGTCCCTTTGCTACACCTGCATTGCCGGGAGATGGTCATCCCCAACATTGCAAAGTTCCTGAGCAACACTGGAGAATGGCACAAAAACGGCGCCCCATGGGCCAAGGAGAAGCCCAACCTCCTAAGATTCGTCGCACCGATGCCTCCACACATGAAAATTAGTTGGAATATAATGTCTTCATACCTAGTGTAATCTCTGTATTTTTGCTTCCATGCTTCTCTTCTCTAGCTTCTTATGTTAACCCCAAGTTCCATATTGTGCTGCTTAGGTAGTTAAGTTGTTTGTTCAAGATCCTGATATTGTAGCCACCATTTCAGGATCAATGCAAAAAAAAAAAAAAACTATTGATGCGAGTATAAATCATTTTCCGAGAGTATATAAATCAGTCTTGGTATGTCCGTTGCAAACTTCTAGATATATGGAGTTGCTGGCAAGCACATTTTAATCACTGAAATTTACAATCTAGCACTACACTACTGCTAATACTGTTATTGAACTGGTTAGCATATCAGTAGTTCCAGAAAACTTGGTTTCTCCTATGCTGCTTCCTGAGGTAGACGCCGAGCAGCTTGTAGTACGTCCACCGCCTCTTCCCGGCGGTGGCCTCCAGCAACACCTCGGAGCTGGCGTGGAAGACGCCCTTGCCGAACGCCTCGAACACGATGGCATCCGTGGCCACGACGGGCTCGGCGTTGCCGTCAAGCCGGTCGAACGCGAACGTGAGGTTCCGCGCGAGGCGGCGCTCGAGGTAGGCGTCGACAAAGCAGCCGTGCGTGACGAGGTCCGGCGCGACGCCGTCGCGGCGCATGTGGTCGGCGCTGAGGTGGAGGTCCCAGAACATGCACATCTTGGAGAACGCCGCGGCGCGGATGTTGAAGGTGGTGAGGTCCGGCCGGAACCCGGCGGCCACCATCTCCAGGAACGCGCGCTGCAGGGACTTCATCTTGAAGTTTGCCGCGAAGGAGAGGAGGTACAGGTTCCAGAGCAGGTTGCCGGCGTCGCGCCGGCGGAGGCCGGCGTCGCGCCGGCGGAGGCCGGCGTCGGCCACGAACGCGCCGAGCCTGTAGTACTTCTGCTGAGAGATGTACGCGGACGCCACGGCGCGGATGGCGCCACGGGTGATGAGCAGCCCGGCCTTCTTGTGCCGGCGGTAGGCCGCCTCCATCTGCGGGATGGTTCCGGCGGCCGCGTAGGCCCGGACGAAGGCGTCCCCGGTCGCGGCGTCGACGCGGAGGCCAAGGCGGCCCATTTCTAGCACGGCGTCCTCCATGCGCGCGAGCTCGCCCGCGGCGCCGAGGCAGGACACGGCGAGCGGGTAGAGCGCGCGCGCCGCGCCGCGGTCCCGCGCGCAGAGCTCGCGCACGGCGAGGAGGATCTCGTCGAAGCGGCCGAGGCGCGCGTACGCCGGGAGGAGGCGCGGCGCCGCGGCGGGGAGGCACGGCGCGGCGGAGCTGTGAAGGAGCTGCGCCCAGAGGGACCGGGCCTCCGCAAAGTCCCCGGCCTCGGCGCGCGCGACCATGAGGGCCGCCGCGTCCATGGCGTCCGGAGCGGCGGCTCTTAGACGAGGCACGGCAGCGGGACGCCGAGGCGGAGTCTGCGCGCGCGTCAAGACCTGGAGAGCGGAGGACGGAGCAAGACGATGAGTGGATGGGAGGGAAGGAGAGGGTGCAGGTGGAAGCAGCAGCGAGCACATCTCATCGTCTCCACGGCTCAGTCCTCTGGTGAAGCTGTCAAACCTTGCTGTCCACTGATGCTGAGAACTCGATCTTTAGCAGATACACAGAATGAGGCGATGAGGATAAAGAGCATGGACGTTTTGACTTTTGAGAGATGTAATAAACAATAATCCAATATATAATCCCAGTTAAACAGTAAATGTTCTTACTTCTTAGGCATATCTGCAGTCCAGAAAATTCCAACAACAAAATAGGATTGCAACTACTGAACCTTCAGTCACAGGCATATCTCTAAGTCTGAATTTCAGTGTGAAACATCCAGTGATGATTGACGTCTGACGGAAAACTGGCAGCTCTACGTTCCAGAAAGGCTCTCATGGCATCTCTGATTGAGTGATTGCAAAACAAATTCCATTCCAGCATACTGTATTGACTCAATATGATGACTTTCGAGCACAAGCGAACATAGGCATGCAACCATAAACAGTAAACTACACATGAACCAGAACACCAGTAAACCATAACAGCAAACTACGGATGACATAAACAGTAAACCTTTCAATGTCCAGTCGGACCAGAACACCATATCATGAACCAGCCCAGCGACCAAAGCCGATCCCCAGGGGAGCATTACATTAATCGATCGCAAAGTCACATAGAATACATCTCTTACTCTGTTAAGTGACTACTCAACAGAATTAGACAAGGAAAATGGTCAATGGTACAATAAGAAGATAGTGACACAATCCCGCGGGAGAAGAGAACAAGAACTCTCACACAAATAGTACATGAACCACAAAATAAAAAACAGGGCGAGGATGGCCAGGCTTGCACAAAACAAGCTGAACACTACAAACGCCTTCCTCTTCAACTCTAGTTGTAGTACATAAGCTGCTGGGCTGATGACTGGTTCGGGTAGCCATCGTAGAGGGCCTGGGAACCAGCAGCAGCAAGAAGACCTGCAGAAACCTGACCCGCGAGACCATGCTGGCCAGCAATCTGACCGGCTGCAGCCTGGCTTAAGGCAAGCTGCCTCTGATAAGCAAGAAGTTCTGCTGCTGTGAAACCTTGTGGGACACCTGGCATTGCTATAGCAGGCTGGTATGGAGCAACTGGAGGGGGTAGGGGCTTGGAAGTTGCCCCAGGTGGAGTTGGTTTGTTACCCCATGAGCACTACAAGAGAACACGGCAGTTGAAACCATTAGAACAATTACATAAAAAATAATTACATAAAGGATCACGTAAGCAGGAGGCATTTAATGCTTTGGATCTTACCTTAATTGGTTTCCCACGGACTACCAATCCATTGCCCATCTGAATAGCTAATGCTGCTTCCCCATGGGTGCTATATCTCACAAATCCAAACCCTTTATCCTGTTGAACACGGATTTCCTCGATTGCCCCGACCCCCAAGTTATAGAAGTGGCGGTGAAGCTCGTCACGGTTAACCTGGCCAGTTAAGTGAAAGATTTAGGTGCTACAGTTTCTATGTTCTCTAGAGAGCTAGGAAAAAGTAATGAGAAACACATTCACTCTAATCTCAGTAGGCACTAGTAACAGTGGAAAAGTCTGGAAACTAGAACAAGTTGGGACGATGAAAGTGGTTATGCAGCAATTTGATTGTACCTCATGTCCGAGGTTGCCAACATATACAGTAGTACAATCAGGATTGTTCTCTGGGTTCTCTTTACTTCCTGCATCCTGGCTTGCATCCATTGCTGCAGAATATAATCAAGCAAATGGCAAAATCAGCAGTGAGGAAGATCCTTATTGGCTCAAATTTTTATCACTAATTATGTGGCATGTTCTTCATCTCATGCCAATAATTCAATATAAACATGGTAAGGTTGACAGACTTAAAAAGAAAACACTGTTGTTTTTCTGGTCATGAAATCATTCAAAAACACTAACCTGAACTGCTGGAGCTACCATTTGTTAGTACAACTGCATTATGATTGTCAGTTTCTGGTTTCTCTTCTGAATTGTTCTTTGTTGCCCAGTTGCACCTTATTTGTCTGCTTCCAAGCCATTTTCCTACAAATTAGTTTCCAAAATTCAGAAGTTGCAGCAACATAATATCAGTAGACTACAGTGGTGAAAAAAAGTAGTGAATATTGTCATAGGCACTGACAGCATGCTTACCAGTCATTTCAGTAATAGCAGTTTCAGCTTCCTGCACCAGCAATGAGAATAGTACAAGTAAGCAAGTGTAACACTGATCGAAATGCCAGTTCATACTCAAACTTCATGTGCATGGTATATGAAATATAAACTAACACATTACAGTTTGAATTTTAACTATGGATGACAAAAGGAGCCAGATAAAAAGTTGAATCAAGTGCACAACCAATGAAGTCTCACAAGAACATTTTAGAATTTAGACAGTAATGAGAAAATAGCATTATAAAATTATTTCACACAAAAATGGGGTCCAAATATATCAAGAAAAATAGAGATTTGAAGCATGAGAAATTAAGATCTTAAACTAGCAGTAATCCGCAAACAATTTGCTCATTTAGACTATAATATTGCCTTTAACAGAATTCAGGCACTGAGAAATTCACCAGTACCAAACATTTAAATACAAAAACAATAGGAAAAGAAATGAACTGTGGTATCAAGGCACACGAATGAAAATGGTGACAGTTCTGCAAAATTCAAGCAAGCAAAGTCTGAGTTGTCCGTGCCTGTTGATTACGGAAGGAGACAAAACCATAACCCCTGGAGCGTCCAGTTTTGTTGTCCCACATGACTCGAGCATCACTGCACATAAATGATACAAATGAAAATCTAAAAGGCTACAGACAAGCAAAAAATGGTAGAAGCTAAGAGAGAAGCCATAGTGTCCAAACTCTATCGTTCTAAATTCAATAGCACAAGAAATAGATAGGTTTGAGATAGCATATTGCAAAATTTGAATACCAAGTCAGCATTTGAAAGCATAGGCTGTAGGTCAAGCTCGTCAGAGATGCCATCATTATACAAAGAACTAAGGACTTACGAACAAGAAGGATATGCTGAGAAACAGGCATAAAGAGTTGCATCATTCACTTCAGAACTTAAATCACCAACAAAAATATGGAAATGCCCTGGAAATAATTCAATGGGCACTGTTAACCAAACAAGGATTATAATATGAAAAGAAAGAGACAACAGGAATATTTTTTTTAAGAATATCTCACCTGACGTATCCTCCCTCTGCGTACTTGCATATGCCCAGTTCACCTTGATTGCTTGTCCATATCTGTGTAAGGATTGCGACAATAAAGAACACCAGAATTTAAATCTCTGAAATTTGTGTTGTTCAAAGTAGTATAACAGCAGAACTTACATGTGACGGCCATGAAGGGTCATGATTGCTAAAGCAGCAGATCTTCTATCATAGTAGTCCACAAACCCAAAGGAAGACTGCAGAAAGAGTAAATGCTCATCAGATAAACGCAACTGACCCAAAACAGTATATATGCTGTGAAATTGTCAGCCAGAGAAAAAGATCATGAGACTTCTAGACAGTAGCATAAAGCATACTGGAAAAATTTACCATCAAGTTACAACTATATATAAACCACTGGTGGTACTCGGGGTAGCTAAGTGCTAACACACCAAGAAAAAAATGTTGGAATATCAAGAACTGGTGTTTCTCTAGCGTTCATAAAACCTTTGGTTCAACACATAAGCACATGTGCCTTCAGAAAAGTTGGAGGACTATTTAAATACAATCATTACTGATGCAATATCACATGTGCTCCAAATCTTAAACATTGACTGCACAAGTTCACCTTCTCTTTCCGTATGAGCTTGCATCTTTCCACAAGGCCAGCACTCTGGAAAACTTCAATCAAAAGGCTCTCCGTGACGTTAGGGTTCACATTTCCAACATACCTATTCAGCAAATCATCATGACTTAAAATCATACTTTGGAAAAAGAAGATAACTACATAAAACTTCAAGGTAGGTACCATAAGACTGTATTTAGATTATGCAACTACAATTAGCTACAGATTTTAGCACCAGCATAAAAGTGAAACTGTGCATCACCTAAATTTGGTTTTCGTTACCTTTTAAAACTCCAGGTTTTTTTATTTTTTAAAAGAACAACATAGTTGCACAGATGAAAAGGGAAAAAGGAAAAGTAAGCTATCAATCACATATGAAAGTGAAAACAGAGAAGAACACCGAAAGCACTCACACACTGCGACAAGTGGAAGGATCAAACCCAGGTGGAAGGTTGCCATTGGAAATAGGTTCCATCTGCAAAATATAAAATATAGAAGAAAATAAAAAAGAAGATACTTATTGCGAAACAAGATAATGACAAGCAAATCAAAACAAAGTACAATTGTGTACTACACTTATTGTGAAACACACTAATGACAAACAAATCAAAACAAAAAACAATTGTGTACTAAAATGTAAAAGAGAATATAAACCCAGTTCTTCTAGCCATATTGTATCCCATTGGACATAGAATCTGTGATTGCATACAATTACTACCAAACATCTCTTCCCAACTAGAACAATGTTGCTTTGCATATGCAACAATGACTTTGTTTTCATTCCTTAGCTTAAGGAACAAAAGTCAGAGTACAACTAACTATCAAGAATAATATAATGCAATTAACACACTTTATAAAGCTGGAGACAATAATAGTACAGGATGTATAGACTGAATTATTCCAATAAAATAAAAATACCAATAAATGCACTAAAACCACACCCAAAACAATGGTCTGCGGGACAACCTAAGCAGAATGCTCGAACTCAATGCACACAACATTCTAGATTCACGAACAGATCAGGTCATCAGTTTGTGTTACCATCCAATCCACAGCCGATACAAATGATAGATGGGACAATAGGCTGTAGACCGTAGTGGTACGGGGCAAGCAAAGACAAGAAAGGGGGCACAAAAGAAAAAAAACAACATCCCTTTAGCTAAAAGCATGAAGGGAGTGAGAACCCAATCCTTCCTATCCATTAGTAGTAACCGTCTTCCGAGCAATCACATCCAAACGCCTTCCTTTATTAACAAACTTTCTTCCAAGTCGCAACAACGGATAGAGGCAGTAGCACAAGCGTCTATTACGCGACCAGAAACGTATCACAAACAACAATAACACGCAATCAGCAGACAAACTTGTGCAGCAACAGCGCTTGCTCCAATTCCACCAAAAAAATGAGCTAGAAGAAACCCAATCTATGAAGCTGTAACTGGTGCTGCCGCTAGCCCGCCACCAAAAACAAAAAAATGCCCAGTAACCCAGCGAGGCAGCCTAAGAAAAATGCTCAAAGCAAAGAAAACAATCTCCCACGCTCACAAGCAGATCGGCGCGCATTACTGCGGCCCAATGCGCACGAGGACCAGCAGATCGAGAGGCGAGGATCCGGGGGGACGACCTGGGTCATGGCCGCCGCTGCCGCGGCGGCGAGGACGCCGGACTGGTACTGCTGCTGCTGCTGCAGCGCCTGCTGCATCAGGAGCGCCTGCTGCTGCTGCTGCTGCCGGAGCCTCTGCTGCTGCTGCTGCTGGTGGCTGCCCCCGGCGCCGTTCATCTCCTCCTCTGGCGAGGCGAGGACCAGATCGGAACCCCGGGGCGGACCGAGCCCGCGCACGGATCGATCCACGGATCGGCAGACTGGGGAGAGCAGATCGATGGATTCGGGGGCGAATTCCTCGTCGGGGATCGAGCAAGGGGAACGCAGGAAGAGGAGGTGATATTTTTTTTCCTTGGTGTTTTTTTCCTCCTCTGTTTTTTTTTTCTCCCCGTCGTCGCGCTCCCCTATCGAGATTAGAGAGCGGAGGGGTAGGACGGGGATTTTGCAACCCGTGACTAGGTGACGTGGAGCTTTCCGTGTGCTGCTGTGGCTCACTGGCAGGTGGGCCCGGGGCCATTCCTACCTGCAAGCTGCTCGCTCAGGCTCAGGGCCGCCTGGAATTTGGATAAGGATTTTGCAAACCGTGTGCCTTTTTTGCCTAAATACCATGCGTGTTTTGAGACTCTTAGATCAAATCAAACTTTTTAAAATTCATCCGTTTCCCTTGCGAACACCATGTTTTTTTGTTCGAAGGAGCAATGTGTGCATAAGTAGATCTACAAAAATCTTTTTAAAAGATCTAAAATATATTTTTTTTGACCCCACTTGTGACCAAGTGAAGATTGAGGGGTTTTCGCGTGGAATGGGTAATGGGTTTCATTCCCTCGTGAAGTTTTGGCTCACATGTTTTTTTTTCTTCTCATACTTCCTTATAAAATGTTACTTGCGTCATGGTTGATTCTTGTCATTCTATGTTTTGATAAGGCGTTGATACTTGCTTGCCATTGATTCTTTGTACACCATACAATAGCACAATAGTCGAAACTTATACTTGCACCTAAAGGTCGTATGCATCCGGTGGGGTAGGAGTTTATGCCATGACCACAATAGCAATTTTTCATACTTATATGATAATTTTTTCACTTCATAGTACGACTTTTTTAAAAAAAATAAACAACTTTGACCAAAAATAAATATTGGTGATATATTAACTCCAGCTGACCTTACCAAACACGGGGTCCGTGTTCAGATGGGTCTGAGAAAAAATTTCAGGTCAAAATCTTTGGTCCGATACTGACTCGACGCACCGACGGATCTAAGTTAGGTCAGTCTATTTCTCTAAGTTTCTTTCACATTTTTTCTACTGGATCGAGTTTTTAAGATTGGATTGAGTCATAGGATCAAAAGTCACGCCCGAATTTAATCCAATATATTAACGGTAATTCTCCTGCGCGTGCATTCGGCTTGTTTCTTTCCTGTCAAACGTTTTTTTTAATTGGACCACAACTCATACAGCCTATCAACGGCCCAACAGTTTCCACCAAACATGCTTCTCTCCCACCCCGCTGCACCTCTCCCTAACGCGGCTGCTCATATATGCTCGTTCAGAAGGCTCTAGTCACTGCAGCAGCCTCATCCACTGCGCCATCTAACATGTGCGTCTGACTCCACCGCGCTGCTCGCCTGCAGCTCACCTTCTCCAGCGTGGGGCCACTCACCGTGGGCAGTGCGGCCACACCGTGCTGCCACGTGCCACCTTTACTGTGGGGGCGCCTCGCCATGGGGGGCGCACCCGTGCAGCAACTCAATGGAGCCGTGCAGCTGCTCGCCTGGGTCGCGTAGCCACTTGCCCTCTAGCATCTCTCCCCTCCCCCTAAGTTCCGCGTCGACGAGCCTCTATTTCATCCAAGCAGCAAGTAGATGTTGCACTTGAAAGCGTATGTTGCAAGCGTTTGTTTCAAGTGTTTCAGATATTTTAGTGGTATGTTGTAAGCGTTTCATATGGATGTTTCATAAGTAGATCGAGATTTTGCATATCCCAAGGTTTCGTTCCCAAGGTTTCATCTGTTTTTGACGTATGTTGCAAGCGTGTTTATTTGGATGTTGCATATGTTTTCATACATACGTTACAAGTGTTTTATCTGGATGTTGGCTATGTTTGTAATGTTTTCGAGTGTTTTTGCAAATGTTTTAGTCGTATGTTTCAAGTGTTTTATCTTTTTTTTACATTGCAAGTATTGTATCTGAATATTTTAAAAGTAGATCGGGCGTTGAGGGAGGAAAGAGGTACGAGCGGTCCCTGCAGGCACGGCCCTCGCTTGGCCGCGAGACGCAGGCGCGGGCAACCAACGTCTGGCCGGCGTGGGTCCACGCGTTAAAACGGAGTGTAGCCACGGGCGTAGCGGTGCTGATATATTAATGGGTTAGGTTGGGTTTTTTTTTTCAAGTGGGTCAAATCGGGTGATCTATAATCAGGTCTACTCCAATCCAGCAACGATGCCAAACGTTTTAACACTTCCCTACTAGGCCATTCAATGTATCAGCAGCTACCAAACTCCATCAGCTCGCAACATTACCAGAGAGGGCGCATGTCCTGTTCACTACTTGGAGATGCGCAGATCACCCACCACACGTCTCCCACACACAGCAAAATGTACCTAATGAATAATTTAACAGATAGCAAAGTATAGCATATACTGTAGTTCACTGCTTAGAAGTTTGTCAGTACAAGAATGTACGGTATTTCACATTGAGCCTTTGTTCGGTTATTCCCCATTCCATGGGGTTTGCAGAAGATTGGAAGAAATTAGGAGGGATTTTGACTTGCTAGGAATTTATAAAGATAGAATTATGTATTTGGCACAGAAATAAAACGGTCTTTCGTATTTGACACTTAAAATTTTGAACTTTCTTATTTGGCACAAAGTTAAAATTTTCTTCTCTGTATGGCACTACCGTTCATTTCATCCACTCATTTGTTAGTTGACTATTTTGACCGTGCCAGTTTTTTTTGTGAGTGTGACCAACATACCCTCTGTTACTCACGCACGCGCTCACTCGTCCCGCCGCCGCTGCGTGCTCGCTCATTCGGCCCCGCTGCATCACGCACCTCCGCTGCTGCTGCGGCACACTCGCCCACAGCGGCCGCTGCCCGCTCGCCTGTCGTCCCCACTATGGTCGCCGCCCACTCGCCGTCCCCACCGCGCTCGACGCCCGTCGTCCCCACTGTGGCCACCGGCAACCCCACTGCTGTAGGGTCGAGATGGCGACTAGAGGGGGGTTGAATAGTCGTTTCTAAAACTTAATCGTGTCGGCTAACCGAAACAAGTACGGAATTAAAACTATCGTTCTAGCCAAGACTACACCCCTCTATCTATGTTCTCTAGCACCTTACAAAGATTCTAATTAAGCAACAAAGATGTCGGGCTAACTAGAGCTCACCTAACCAATTCTAGGAGCAAGGTCACACAAACCTATGCCACTAGCATTTCAAGCAATGAGGGAGCTCCTACACATGCTAGTAAGCAAAAGCACACAGCTAACTAAGCTCACTAACAATGCTCAATAACAAGGCAACCAATGCCAAATTAGAGAGCGCAAATACTTAGCTACACAAACTAAGCAAAGTGACTAACAATGTTACACAAACCAAATTAGTCACGCAAGGGAGCTACTTATATGCTACACAAGCAAGAAGGTAACTAGTGAGCTACACAAGCTAACTAATTATAAGAGCAACTACACAAGCACAATATATATAAAGTAATCACAAGCTTGTGTAATGGGATTGCAAACCAACGGAAAGAACAAGGTTGACACGGTGATTTTCTCCCGAGGTTCACGTGCTTGCCAACACGCTATGTCCCCGTTGTGTCGACCGCTCACTTGGTGGTTCGGTGGCTAATTAGCATCACCCGCCAAGCCCGCACGTCAGGCACCGCAAGAACCTACCCCGAAAGTGAGGGTAGCTCAAAGACACGCTCAACTAGAGTTGCTCTTCGTGGCTCGGATGGAGCGAGCACAATACCCCTCACAAAGCTCTTCTCCGGAGCACCGCACAAGCTTGTTGCGGGCTTCGACGGAGACCACACCAAGCCGTCTAGGAGGTGGCAACCTCCAAGAGTAACAAGCACCACCGGCTTGCAACTCAATCACCTAGTGCCACTCGATGCAATCTCACAATACAACGCACTAGAATCACACTCACTCGCAATCGATTCGCACTCTTGCAAGCACAAGTGAGTTAGAGGGCATCCAAGCACTCCTACACAAGCCACATAGGCGTGAGGGTGCTAAGCGACCAGCCCAAGGCCGGCCACACACTCCTTTTATAGGCCCAAAGGCTAAAATAGCCGTTACCCCTTCACTGGGCAAAACGCGCACTGACCGGACGCGCAGGTCATAACGACCGGACGCTGGAACCCAGCGTCTGGTCACTTACAGAGAGGTTCCAACGACGTTTTTCAGCGACCGGACGTGTACGGTCATCACTGACCGGACTCTCCCAGCACATGCACATTCCATTCCATCTCCTCCAATGTCGATGCAACATGCACCAACATGATCGACAATGATATGATCCACTTCATATCATCACGTGATCATATTGGTTCATCGATCTTGACTTCACTTGCTTTTCACCGTTGCCTTCATCCATCGGTGCCAAGCCTTGCTTAAGCTTCACCGCCACGCGGTCCATCGCTCCAAAGCCTCCGACTTGCCCTTCACGCTTGCAACCGGTCCATCAAGCCAAGTCTTGTCTTGATCTTCTCCACCTTGATTACATGACTCAATATCATGTCTCATGTGCAATAAGCTCCTTCATCATCACATGTGTGAGCTTTGCAACATCTCCAAACCATTTTTACCTTCACGGCATATGTTGCTCACACACATGTACTTGTGGACTAATCACCTGTGTATCTCACATAAACACAATTAGTCCACATAGGGTTGTCACTCAATTACCAAAACCACACAAGGACCTTTCAATCTCCCCCTTTTTGGTAATTGATGACAACTCTACAAAGATATGGAAATTAAGCTCTTTTGGATTCATGTTGCTTGCCCAAGCAATTTTACCATGTGTAAATGATTTTGGACAAATACCACAAACCCGAAATGGTAGTATAAGCTCCCCCTACATATGTGCTAGAGTGTTTGTTTTAAAGCTCGCACATATGCATAGATTGAAATTGTGGGAGAGTAATTACTACTAAATGATGCTAAGGTGTATA